GATACTGTCGAGGCTCACACATACTATTTACAACCATCAACATTGCAAGCAACAATAAGCCTCTAACCATTTGACTTTTGTACTCAAAATTCCTCTTCCTAGATAAGATTTGCAAAAATTTTTGAAAATCCAATTTATAAAAGAACACATCTCCCTCCTTAGTATCATCCATTTGCAAAAGTTCATAAGCTCCACTATAATGCTTATTATTGGTAAATGCAGAAGAACATGAAATTAAGGAACTAGCCCTTTCATGACAAGGTTCAAACACTTTTTATATCGATAAAGGTCTATTGAAAATTGAGACAATTAATGAAAATTTAAAAAGGTTAGATTTTCTCAATGAATTAAAATGCCATATCAAATTATTGTCATTTTTTTACCTCTAAAATGCTATATGTTAAAGTTCCAATATCAAAAGAAACCATCAATTTGACCTCATGACCTACATTCAACTGTAATTTCTCACAGACAATTTCCATGACATTAAGATATGAAGTTGTATCTTCCTTAAGTACTTCAAGGTATAAACCATTGACATCACAGTTGTTCGAATCTTATTTTTCATCATAAGAAATGACGAGATTAAGCATTCCCATATCTACAAGATAAAATAATGTTAGTAAATTTTTACTAATATGACTTATATATCAGTGATATACAATAGTATCTCACTGATATACTATTACAGATCAACATAATCAGACAGTGAGACATAAGCTTATTTATCATTGATATATAGTAGTATATCAATAATGTAGTTTTGCGTATTAATAACACAAAAAATACATAATCATTTGATCAAAACAGATCAAATACAGTCTGTAAAAAATTATGGGCTCTTAGTTTATCATAGAGAATCAAATACCTAGATTAATAAAATAAAAAATCATGAACAATTTAAGTCTTCATTTGTTTGCTAGGCTCTCTTACGTTTAGGATCTTCAAGCATTTGCAAAATCCAGAGCATTATAATTTTTAAAGGGTAGTTTTGTCAATCAAACTTCAGCTAAATATTAAAAGACCATTATTTAAATTAAAAAAAGGTTGAGCTATTATTTATGTTTGATCCTATGATGTGGGCTATGTTTGCAAAACTCCCACAAAATTGAAGGAATTATATATTAATACATATTACAAATAAAAATGCATTAATCATTTATAACTATTCATTGTACATCTTAGCAAATAATTTCACACTCTTGTTATTCTTAGAAAAGTAGTATGTCAAGCAGATATTGATATATCTAAAAATGTACCCAAAAAAATTGTTCTAAATTGATCCCTAAAACTACAAGTTAAGGTTATCATTGATCGGGAGAAAATTATAAAAAAAAAAAAATACAGATTATCATACTTTAAAATTATGTCCCCTCTTGCATCTTCATTACCCCGCCCCATGTATCTTTTTTTTTTTTTTTCCTTTTTAATTGTTTATACAACTATATAATATTATTCACCACTAACAAATCAGATTTAGATATTTATTGCGACTTCTTATTTTATATTTTAAAAAAAATATGCATCCAACCAATTTTATATATATCATATCATTTTTATAAAATTTTTAGTTAATTGATTTTTTTAATATAATTACCTTATTGGGTGAGATTCGCGTATTATTAAGCTCAATTAAAAATAACTCTCTCAAGTACTTTTTTCCGTCAACGCAGACTCAAATCCAGTACCTATAAACCAACTAAATTACATTACTGTCATTTTGTTATCTAAACATATGTATATATATATATATATAATAGTTTATAACACAATAAAATAATATATGATGATGATGATGATGTAAATATAGATAAATCTTCATGCAATAATCAATTTGATTTATAGTATTTTTTCTGAACATAAATCCATTGTCGCTAAATTTAGGGGAATATAAACTCGTGATTTGACCTGTCTCCTTCCATTTATTAAGTCAGAGGGTGAGGCATTCATGTTTAAATTGATTTTATGATGTGTGGGGTGACTTTGAAGCTGGTTTACTTGTTAGTGGTCTTTCTTCTGCCTCCACCACAACCTCCACGCAGGTGGTGGTCCCAAATCCCATTTGAGAGGTCACCTTCGTGTAAGTGAAGCTCAAGATAACTATTCCCAAACTGAATGACAAGTCATCACTTTTACTTTTTACATTTTTTTTAACACTTTAATTATTTAAGTCATGTAAAAAAATTCAGGTTTGATTTGAATTTACATTTGAATTAAATTCATCTTTTAAATTCATTAAAAACTATAGATTTGGATCTCCATCGAAATCAATATTTACTATAATTTTTTTTATAATTACAAATCTCATATACATTTTAATTTTTTTAAAATGTCAACCATACTAAATCAATTAATGAGACGTATGGACCTAATAATGCTAGTTTTTTACAATATAAAAAATCAAGATTTGATTCCCCCTAGAAGAGTAGCCTGCATTTAATTTTTAACTGTATCTCAAATAAGATTATCTCTTATAAGTTAACACCCATAAGCAATAAAAAAAAAACAAAGAAATGTTAGCCATACTAGCCTTCTCATTCAGTTGTTTGTCATTTCTCATCTCTTTGTTTGTTGTCATTAACTTTAAATTTTTTTATCCTACCCAAACAAAAAAATTTTAATACATGAATTTTAAATAAAATATTTTAAATTTAAAATTCAAATCTAAATCCACATTTATCCAAACCCTACCAATTCCTACTAAGTTTGAACCTTCATGCGTTAATGGAATGTTGCAGAAGAGATGGTGACACAATATGGCTAGATACTTAGAATTTGAGTTAGTAGATAGTATTGTTTACTGATGGTTTGTTATCAAAAAAATAAATAAAGATATTGACCAAAATATATGAGAGTATATGGAAAAGTGCCTTTGGTTTATATAACTTCACTCTTTTTTTTTAATTTTATCTATATATTTTTTTAAAAATAAATTAAATTTAAAATTTTGTATATAGTGAGGATTTAACTATGTAACAATTAAATTAACTATTAAATGAAATTATATGGGATAAAACATGATTTTCACTAAAATACATGAAAACACATTAAAGGCGGAGAAATTTTAGAGTGACCCGGTGATCCATTCAATAATAACATGATATTTAGATAATATTAAATATAAATTAATTTCAATATTAATGATAATAGAGAAAGAAAAAATAAGAAAATAAAAGGAGGCCTTATTAACAGACAATTCATAGAAACTACACTATCTACCAAGTAAATTCAAATAAATTGTGGTACATAATTCTATTTTTAAGTAGGGCAAAATTTGTATACTTTTTTTGATAAGACTAAGAAATTCTTAAGTAGACCAAGTCTCTAATAAGAGTTATATACTTAATATATTTTTATTCAATTAAATTAATACATGTAAATTTTATTATGTTAATATTATTAATAACAAGAATCTTTATAGATCAAATAATTTACAAAAAATATACATGTTTTGATTTAATAAAAAATAAGTATGTTAAGTATATAAGTTTTTTTTCTTCAAATACTTTTGTGAAATATAATTAACGCTTGATACCCGTCAACCTCAATCCTTAGATTTGGATTCTTCAATTTATGCAGACAATCTCCTATTGTCATTACCGAATGACAGATCATGAGGGTTATATAGTTGACTTAATATATATATTATTTACGCATAATCTGAAGTTGAAAGATATTATTGATTATTTACACGGAAAGTTTAAAATATATTATCACCGTTATATCATGTTGGTGCTTGCATGGTACGAGTAATAAATGATGTAATGATTATCTAAGCAAATTTAAAAATTCAAGGGGTTACAATGTCAACTCTTTTTTTATAACAAAATGTTAACTTTTAAGTGTCAAAATAGTTACACATAATTCAAAATTTTAATAAATTTATATGCTTCTTAATCTAATAACACTCCCAGGATAAAGTTAATTAATTTTAATTCAATTCTCATAAAATTAAGAAGGATAATTGTGTATTTTTATCTCTAAAATATTCTTCAAGGAGCACCCAATATCCTAAACTATTTATTAAAATAATATTTTTCTTAAAATAATTAAAACAGAATATTTTTGCCCTCTTTATTAAATTCTCTAGAAGTCAATGTTAGAGTCCCAATTAATATTTCTAATAATCAATGTTGAAAATTTGACGATAATGATAAAAATAGTCTTTTTTTAATTCTTTTAATGACAAAATTATTTCAACAAATAGTTTAGGATGTTAGGTGTTCTCAAAAAATACTTCAAGGATAAAAATATACTTTTATCCAATTAAAAATTAGCTGCTTTGTTATAAAAATTTTAAAATTGAAAAACACTTCCATATTTACCCGTAATTTAACATAAAGTACTTCTTTTCTTAGAATTTATAAGACATTTTTTTGACACAACCAAGTGAAGTTAAATATATACAATTTACAGTTTTAATTAATTTTTTTATAAACTTTCAAAAATACCATTTATTAATAAAAGAAAGGGAAAGAAATTTATCTAATGAGTGAAATAACGAGAAGAATAATATTAGAATAATCATCACTAGTAAAACCTTAATCACCAAATCAACTCCAAAAATATCTTACAGATTGTGCTGAAAAGATTATCTATTTTGAAAATATGTTAGAAGGCATTTCTGAGAAGGATAGATATCCCGAAATTTCGTGCGACATTACATACGTTGTAAACCACAAATGTCTTTTAAAGATGTGACTTGTGTGAAAGCAGCAAAACCATGACTCAAGGTCTAAATTTGAATTTCCCTTCATGTGACCGTGTCCATTTTTGGAACATAATGAATAATGAACAGAGACTAAACGAGGTTGCTGAATATATAAGCAGTGTCGTACATGGATTGAACTTCATCCCACACACTTCGCTCACAAGCTCTGCAATTCTCTGCTGCTACAGTAGTCCCATATCACAGAGAGAGAGAGAGAGGAATGAGAAATATGGGTGAAACTAAGCTTATAAGCAAAACTAAAGTAACCCATTTGTTATTAGTTTCAGTGATGATCTCTCTAAGCTCTCTTCTTGTCTGCTTTGGCTCTTCCTTGCTTGCCTTTTTCCTCCATTACTGCAACTTCAACTTCTCCTTCTCCTTCCCTTCCAAGATCTTCTCTCACACCATTGACAAGAACTGCATATTCCTCCTCTGTAACGGCCTCCTTGTTTTCCTCAGCATCACCACATCATTTTCCACCTCTAGTCCTCCTCATGATGATCTTCTTCATCATTATATTCATGATCATGATGCTTCAGAAGCTGAGGTGATCAGAGTTAGTGAGATAGCTGCAGAAATGATGCAGGAAGATGATCCTGACACTGATGCTGATGCTGATGCTGATGAAGTAAGTGGCGTATTATTGGGTTTGGAATTGAAAGAAGAAGAGTGGTTGGAAAATGATGATGAGATTGTGGATGCAGAAAGCGTGGAAGATGAAGAAGAGAATTGGATGTTAAGCACAGAGCAGATGAACAAGAAATTTGATGATTTCATCAGAAGGATGAAGGAAGATCTGAGGATTGAAGCTAAACGACAACTAGTCATGGTTCACAATTAATTAGCAACAACCTTTTTTTTTTAAATTAAAAAAATTATATTAGTCTTAGGATTTCCAGGTTTTGTTATATATTCTTTAAGTCTTTTCTTCCCCTCTTCTCTACCATCTCTTGTACTTTAGTTGCTTTGCTTGTCTTTCTCGCAAAACTGGAAGTCTAATCCTTAGATAGCAAGGAATTGTTTATTATTCTCTCTCTCACTCTCCTCTCTCTATTTTGAAATCCTTTTCCACAGTTCTTGTTTTTAGAAAAATCACCTATTTAGTCTATATAGTTTGGGAGAATGATAAAGAGGTCATAAAAGAATCAATTAATTCATGTTAGGTTTCAAGTGTTATATTTTAAAAATTTACAACTTGTATTTCAAATTTTATTAGAAAAATAATTTTTTTTATTTTCAACCATATTAAAATTTAAAAAATAAATAGCAAATTTATCATAACGCAGTTGTAAAATTGAGAAATTGAATTACAAATTTTTAAAGTTTGGCACATAGAATCTAATTTAAATTAATTGATCCTTTTGGGACCTCTTTGTCATTCTCTCATATAATTTTGACTTAATTAAAATTTAGTTTCTAAATTTTAACTAGATAATTCAGTTCTTATATTTTTCACTCGGTTGAAATTTAGTTTCTAAATTTTAACTCGATACATCTAAAAATTATAAGGACCAAAATTATTTTTTAAAGATTAAAGACTCATTTTAAATTTCTAAAACTATATGAACTAAATTGCATTGAATTAAATTTTAAAAATTATTTTTTTATCAAGTTAAAACTATAAGAATTGAGTTATATCATGTTAACTATTATTGTTTAAAAATTTAATTACAATCGAATTAAAACTATAAAAGTAAAATAATTAATTTTTTCTTGTTTTTATATATGTTGTCAGGAGAAGTAATTATATATTGAAGATTGAGGTTCTACATTAATTATTTTATTTAGCGAATTAGTACGATCAGATAAACACCGATGGCTTTTTGACACAAAGGCAATGGAATAAAATTTTAAAATAACTTGATAAGCTAAAAGTATAAAATTATGTTGAAATTTACAAATTAATATTTTAAATTACTAAAACTTTTAATTTTTATAAAGATTATAAAATTAAAATTTTAAAATAAATTTAAGGGATAATGCAATTCTTCGTCCCTTTTGTTTGGAGGTTTTATTGATTTGGTTAACTTTAATTTATATCATTTCAATTCTTAATGTTTATTTTTATTATTAAGTTAATCTTTTAAATTTTACAAGACAAATTAATCCTCAGAAAAAAGAAAACTAATGTGAAAATTAGATTGTTGACTAGAATATACACATGGATAAATTAAAACCACATAAGACAAACAGCTAAGCCTTAATTATTGATATGTCATTGCATGATTTTAAGAGGAAAAATAGGGCAAATAGCATCCAAGGATCATTGTGTGAAATTTATACCACACAAGGACCGAATGATTTACTATTTACTCTACAGTTCTTTAGTTCTTATTTGATATTAATTTCATAAGCAAATGATGAAATTACCCCTCAAATAGTTAAAAAGAAGGAAAAAATAAATCCCACCGTCGCTAGCCATTGGACCATTATCGATGGCAAGGTCACTAGAACCCTTGCTATAGGCAGGAGTCGCCGTCGATAGATCACTGGAGTTTCGACGCTCTCAACATTTTATTTGAGAAATAAACTTTTTAGGTGGCCAAGAGAGAGTTTGATCTTATAACCTAGGCCACCTAAAAACTTTGGTGGCCACCAAGCCCTCTAATAACATATAGCAAAAAAAAAAACCAATAAATAAGTAGTAAACTAAACTTCTAACTACTTCCATGTAATAACATAATGTGTGTGTTAATTTTTGAACGTAATTTTTTTTTACAAATGTTACTTATTAATTTGACATAGACAATTACAAATTAAGGGCTTTAAAGGTCACGTATTTTGCTTATTAAACATTTCAATATATTGTTGTTAATCACAAATAGGTTGTCAAAACCAAACGAATACTTATCAATGAATAACTAATACGTATAACTAAACATTTTCTATTAATTTTTTTTAACTTGTTAAAATCATAATAGATTCTTCTTAATTTGGAATGAATTGTTGTCATTTTATAAATGTTACTTATTAATCTAACATGAATAATTACAAATTAAAAGTTTTAAAACTTCACGCATTTTACTTGTTAAATGTTCTAATATATTGTTATCAATCACAAATAGGTTGTTATCAAAACCATACAGATATTTATTAATGAATAACTAACACGTACAACTAAATCCTTTCTATTAATTTTTTTAAATTATTAAAATCGTAATAGATGTTTGTTAATTTTGAATGAACTATTATGATTTTACAAATGTTACTTGTTAATCTGACATGGACAATTATGAATTGGGGGCTTTAAAACTTCACATATTTTACTTATTAAATGTCCTAATGTATTGTTGTCAAAACTAAATAGATACTTGTAAATGAATAATTAACACATACAACTAAACCCTTCCTATTAATTTTTTTAACTTGTTAAAACCATAATAGATTCTTGTTAATTTTGAATGAATTGTTGTTATTTTACAAATATTACTTGTTAATCTGATATAAACAATTACAAATTGGGGGCTTTAAAACTTCATGCATTTTACTTGTTAAATGTTTCAATATATTGTTGTCAATCACAAATAGGCTATTCTCAAAACAAAACGGATACTTGTCAATGAATGACTAACATGTACAACTAAACATTTTCTATCAATTTTTATAACTTGTTAAAACCATAATATATTCTTGTTAATTTTGAATGAATTATTTCTATTTATAAATGTTACTTGTTAATTTGATATAAACAATTACAAATTGAAGGCTTTAAAACTTCACGCATTTTAGTCAATAACAAATAGGTTGTTATCAAAATTAAATTAATACTTGTTAATAAATGACTAACATATACGATTAAATATTTCTTATCAATTTTTTTAACTTATTAAACCATAATAGGTTGTTGTTAATTTTGAATGAATTGTTGTTATTTTACAAATATTACTTTAAAGTCTTCAATTTGTAATTGTTCATATCAGTTTAACAAATAACTTTTATAAAATAACAACAATTCATTTGAATAATAAGAATTTATTATGATTTTAACAAGTTAGAAGAATTGATAGGAAAGGTTTAGTTATATGTGTTAATCATTTATTAGCAAGTTTCCATTTAGTTTTGACAACAATCTATGTGTGATTAACAACAATATATTAGAACGTTTAACAAGTAAAATATGTAAAGTTTTAAAGCCCTTAATTTGTAATTGTCCATGTTAGATTAACAAATAACATTTGTAAAATAACAATAATTCATTTCAAATTAACAAGAATTTATTATGGTTTTAACAAGTTAGAAAAATTGATGGGAAGGATTTAGTTGTACATGTTAGTCATTCATTAATAAGTATTCGTTTGAGCTTGACAACAACCTATTTGTGATTAACAAGAATATATTGAGACGTTTAACAAATAAAATGGGTGACTTTTAAAGCCTCTAATTTATAATTATTCATCTCAAATTAACAAGTAACATTTGTAAAATAACAAGTTTCATTCAAAAATTAACAACACACCATTATGTTATTACATAAAAGTTGTTAGATGCTTGGTTTACTATTTATATATTTTTTTTTCTATATGTTATTAAAGGGTTTGGTAGTCTAGTGGCCACCAAATTTTCTAGGTGGCCAAGATTAATAGGATCAAACCCTCCTTTGAGCACGTAAAAAGTTTATTCTCAAATAAAATGTCGTTGCCATTGGAGCTCCAGTGACCTACCATTGGTGACCTTTGCTAAAAGCAAGGGCTCTGGCCACCTTGCTATCGTTGGTGATCTAACAACCGGTGCCAACAACGGTGGGATTTCTTTTTGGTTTTTTAATTATTTGAGGGGCAATTCCATCATTTTGCTTACGAAATTAATATCAAAGAAGGACCAGAGAACTACAGAGTAAATAGAAAATTATTTGATACTTGCGTGATATAAATTTCACACAGTGGTCCTTGAATCCTATTTTCTCATTTTAAAATACCACGTTAATAATCTTGTTTACACGTCAGCTTTTTTGAAGGATTAGTTTGTCTTGTAAAATTTAAAGGGCTAACTTGGTAATGGAAATAAATGTTAATAACTGAAATGATAGAAATTAAAGTTGAGAGATCAAATCGATAAAATCACTAAACATAAGGGACTAAAAGTTGCATTATTCTTAAGTTTAATTTTTATAATTTTATTTTCTAAAATATAAGGGATGAGCTATATCGAATCAAAGTGTAAGAACTAAATTATAATTGAGTAAAAACTATAAGGACTAAATTATTATAAGTTAAAATTTGATTATTAAGTTACAATTGAGTCAAATAATAAAAATTAAATGATTAATTTTATATGGGCCAGGTGATAAATTATAATCTAGAACACATTGTTTTAAATTTTAATTTATATAGAGATTACACATTTTGAAATAACAAATTATTCTTTATATTTTTAGCATACATGGGATAGTAAAATTCTTAATTAATTTATATGAATATAAAATAAGTTATTGTTCATATTTTTAATATACATAGGAAAGCATATTTTAAAATAATTTTATTTTCATATACATAGGAAAGCATATTTTAATATTTTAAAATAGAGATCATGTCGTCATTCTTAATTTTTTATTTTCATTTCAGAGTTTGACTCATCTATTTTTTTATTTAAAATTTTTTAAACTACACAAATAATAAATTTTAAATATAAAATATAAAATTTAAAAATTAAATTCAAATATGTCAATCCAAATACTACCTAAATTATTTTCTTACAAAGTTCACTCATTATATTCTAGAAGATATTTTTGAAAGTGATATGGTGTTTCAAAATATAATATTTTTTTAAATAAGGCTTTTTATTATTATTATTATTATTATTATTATTATTATTATTATTATTATTATTATTATTATTATTTCA